TTGGTCCTTCGAGCCGGATACGGAACCGTGTAAAACGAGTTCGAACAAACTCAAGTGAACGTCACTCCGAGTGTAACACATAATAAACAGCGCAACTGTTGTGCTTCTTATAATCTGTGAATACGTGTTAAGATTGACGGAAAACAATCTGTGGTAAAAAACAAATAATTTGTCACGTGACCACGAGCATCAACGACGTTGTGGAAAACGTCAAATACCAGGCCATTGCACGGACGTCCCGTTTGGAAAGCAGCCGTCGCAACAATCCGAAACTCAACATTTTTGGTGGACATCCCGTTTGGAAAGCAGCCTCCAGAATAGCTGATATAGAAACTTTGGTGGACATCCCGTTTGGAAAGCAGCCTCCAGAATAGCTGATATAGAAACCTTGGTGGACATCCCGTTTGGATAGTAACCAGTCAACATCAGTGGAGAAGCAAATTTCTTCTTCATAACGTCAGGAAGCAACAGTCAAGTAAGGTTAGAGAATCTCCTGTTACACCTTGTACTCCATCCTTCCAGTGTTTCATACATTTCCAGTCGATTCGAAATTAAGTATTTTAAAGACAAATTAAAAGGAACAAAATGGCTGCCCCTACACAACTTAGATCGTTAACTAAAACTCGTGCAATTATCAAAGGGAATGTAACGCGGTTAATCGGGTACTTCAGCGAAAGCGCGGAGGTGGACATCGATGACATAGAAACGCGTAAAACAAAACTAGAGGAAAGTTATCAAGCCTTTTTGAAAACTCAGTTAGAAATAGAGATACTGGCCGAAGACTCACAGCTTGAATCAGATCAGGAATTGGAAAGGTCTCGATTTGAGGAGCACTATTTTAAGTGCGCAAAGGTTATAAATCAACGGCTTCGCGCGCTGTCAGTTAATCAGACAACCTCTGAACCAGGTACTCCGTCTTCACATTCGGGTTCTACTAGGAATTCAAATATCACTATCAATCACGGCAACACGTTATTGCCTAAAATCGAAATCCGTCCGTTTGACGGCAATCCCATAGATTGGTACAGCTTCCATGACACGTTTCAGTCATTAGTACATAACGATGTTAATATTCCTGCAGTACAGAAGTTTTATTTGTTAAAAAATTCTCTGCGCGGTAGTGTAGCCACAATAATTGAGCCACTGACTGCATCAGAAGAAAATTACAAGGTAGCTTGGGAGTTACTTAAACAGCGTTGTGATAGGCCACGTCAAATAATTCAGACACACATAAGAGCGATTCTAGAATTGCCAGAAATTACAAGGGAATCTCCGCTCAATATACGAGCATTAAAGGAGGCCGCATTAATGCATGTCAATGCCCTAAAGGCGCTAAAGGAACCCGTGGAAATGTGGAACTCCATCTTAACATATATCATAGTACGTAAACTTGATAAAAATACGCGGCGAGCGTGGGAACGCACCTTAGAAAACACGCAAATGCCGAAATTCACGGAATTAGTCGAATTCTTAAGCAAACAAGAGCGAGGAGATGATTCGGAAATATGTAATAGTACGATAGGAACTCAGAATCAGATTAAATTCGATAAACATGCCAATAAAGTGGGCAAATCATCGAGTCATCGCGCTCAATCATTTATAGGTACTCAATCTCGAAATGAATGCAACTTTTGCAGTGGCACTCACAGTATTTATACATGCGAAAAATTCTTAAAATTAAATCCGCGTGATCGATCAAACGCAGCTAGAAACAAGCGACTATGTGTTAATTGTTTGCGTACCAATCACCCCACTAATAAATGCTATGCCCCTGGCTGTAAACTCTGTCACCGGAAACATAATACGTTATTGCACTTCTCCGAATCCCATGCTCAAATGAGGGTAGAAGAAGGTAGTAAAGGGGACTCGAATTCGTCTATTTCTAACGATCAGGTAAAACAGGGCTATGCAGTAACATATGATTCCGAGGTATTATTGGGGACAGCTCGGGTTAAGATTCTGGACAAACACAATAAAGAACACGAATGCAGGGTTTTATTAGATGGGTGTTCCCAAAGTCATTTCATTTCGCACAATTTAGCACAAAAACTTCAATTATATAAAGAAAAGATCGAGCTGCCGTTTGCAGGGTTAGGTCAACTCACAACACGTGCAGAATATCGAGTAAGGACAATAATAAAATCAAAAAATAATAACTTTCAAGCAGAGGCAGAATTTGTTGCACTTCCGAAAATCACAGGCATGTTACCATCGCGACGCGTCTATCGTAAAGAACTATTGATTCCAAATAACATTAAGTTAGCAGATCCAGAGTTCGATAAGCCAGCGGAAATCGATGCCTTGATCGGGACTACACTGTTTTACAAACTATTAAATAATGGACAAATCAGGCTATCAGCTTCGTCGGACGTTATACTACAAAAAACATTGTTGGGTTGGATAGTTGTAGGAGAAGTTTGTAAACCTCAAATTAGTTCGCGCGGTAAATCATGTCATTTGATAACATCTTTAGAGAATCAGTTAACTCGTTTTTGGGAAATAGAGGAAGTCCCGCATAAAAAACATCGTTCTATTGAAGAAATAAGATGCGAAACTCTCTACGTAGAGACCACAACACGCGATTCACAAGGGAGATATATTGTACGCCTACCATTCAACGATAAAAAGAATAACATCGGTGAATCTTATAGCAGAGCGTTACAACGATTCTATTCACTTGAAAGAAGGCTAGCAAAGGACGTAACCTTAAGACAACAGTATAGTGAGTTCCTAAGGGAATATCGCGAGTTAGGACATATGCGTGACATTACACAATACGAGGTTAAACAAGAAGGATACTATATACCTCATCACTCAGTGGTCAAGGAGGATAGCTTATCCACAAGGGTTCGCGTGGTTTTTGATGCGTCAGCTAAAAGTTCGACAGGTGTCTCATTGAACGATGCATTGATGGTCGGACCTACTATTCAAAGTGAACTAATTTTCATAATAATGCGATTTAGATTACATAATGTAGTAATTACAGCTGATTTGCAAAAAATGTATAGACAAATTGAAGTTGAAAATTCGGACGCAATATATCAAAGGATTTTGTGGAGAGAATGTGAAAATGAACCAATTCGTACATTTGAGTTAAACACAGTCACGCAAGGCACAGCATCAGCGCCATTCCTTGCATCTAGAACTTTACATCAGTTAGCGCATGACGAAGGTAACGAATTTTCTTTAGCCGCATCAAGTCTAAAGGATGACTTTTACGTCGATGATCTGCTCTCGGGGGCAAAAACTATTCAAGACGCATTAGAATTAAAACAACAATTGATTCAGTTACTGAAACGTGGAGGATTTGAACTTCATAAGTGGGCCTCCAACAAATCTGAACTACTTGGTGAAACAAAGATTGAGGATAATTCAAACTCTATTTGTTTAAATGCTCAATCTAGGAAGTTGTTAGGAATTCACTGGGATTCAGCCGAGGATTTTATAACATACTCCATAAACCCATTCGCTAAGGATAGACGCACGACAAAGCGTACGATATTATCGCAAATAGCACAACTGTTTGATCCCTTAGGTTTATTAGGCCCCGTAATTACTCTAGCTAAACTTATTATGCAAGGACTATGGAAAGCTAAGTTGAGTTGGGACGAATCATTACCTCAGGAATTGCATACAAAATGGATAAATTTCAAGGGCGAGTTACATTTGCTAAATCAATTTAAAGTAACGCGACAGGTTATATTAGCTAATGCACATGACATCCAGTTACATGGATTCTGCGACGCAAGTGAGCTAGCTTACGGTGCATGCGTATATTTACGCTCAACTGACAAAGACAACAATTGTTCGGTGCAATTAATTTGTGCAAAGTCTCGCGTAGCGCCAGTAAAAACTATTACTGTCCCTCGACTTGAATTATGTGCGGCACAATTATTGGCCAAATTAATCTACACAGTGTCGGAATCATTAAACATAAAGTATAGTAAAATTAAAATGTGGTCTGACTCCACTATCGTGTTACACTGGATTAACGCGTCTCCTCATTGTTTAAAAACATTTGTTGCGAACAGAGTAGCGGACATACAATCACGAACGAATGTAAACAATTGGTTGCACATTTCTACCGGAGAAAATCCTGCCGACTATATTTCTCGTGGTCAAATTCCTTCCGAATTCTTACAAAATAAACACTGGTTATATGGGCCCCGGTGGTTAGTTCAAGATGAGACGGATTGGAAAGTTAAGCAATTAACTGAAATGGCAATTCCCGAGCAAAGGATTAAAACAGCATTACTAATTACCGAAAGGAGTGTCGCTGTTCCAGGCATCTCAGTAAACCCAAAAATAAGAAACGACACGTTTGAACGATTTTCTTCAATTGATAGATTAATTCGTTTCGTAGCATTCTGTCATCGCGTAGTCTCTAACAGAAAGGGAAAAATCAAAGTAGCAGGCAAATACACCGTCGAAGAATTAAGAAATGCACGGCTGCAAATCATCCGAGTCATTCAACAAAGTCATTTTTCGCGAGAGATACAAAATTTAAAAGAAAGCATTCCGTTGAATTCAAAGGGTAAACTCATATGTTTAAATCCGTTTCTTGATTCTGACGGTGTGATACGAGTAGGGGGGAGGTTAACAAACGCACAAATAGCATACTCCCGGAAATATCCTATATTATTACCACATAACGACCATGTAACCAAATTGTTGATTCACAATGAGCATATTAAGCATTGGCATGCAGGCGTGCAAGCTACTTTAAACGCGGTAAGGTACAACTACTGGCCAATTGATGGAAAAAACATAACACGACATGTCATATATAAATGCGTGCGCTGTAGTAAATTGAATCCCAAACTACCGAATTATACAATGGGTGATTTACCCAAGAATCGAGTGATACAATCTCGCCCCTTTGATAATGTCGGTCTTGATTATTGTGGTCCTTTCCTTTTGAAGGAAAAGAAATTTAGAAACAAAATAAAGATAAAATCCTATGTCGTTCATTTAGAACTCGTTACCGACTTAACCACTGAAACGTGTCTAGAAGCTATAAAACGATTTTGTGCACGAAGAGGAAAACCAACAAAAATATATTCAGACAATGCAACTAATTTTATTGGGGCTAAAAATGAAATTTTAAAGGTTAGAGCATTCTTCAGTTCAAACGAGAACAATACCAAGCTATCTAATTACTTTCAAACCGAAGGAATTAACTGGCAATTTATCCCGCCGCGATCCCCGCATTTCGGAGGGTTGTGGGAGGCAGCTGTAAGATCCTTTAAACATCACCTATACCGCACAGTAGGGGAGGCAATGTTCACATACGAACAATTTAATACTTGCATCGTAGAAATAGAATCCATCCTAAACTCTCGCCCTTTGACCCCCCTATCCTCTGACCCTAATGACCTTATTGCCCTCACTCCTGCACACTTCCTTATAGGAGATTCATTATCAAGCTTTCCTGAGCTTGATCTTCAGGATGTACCAATCAGTAGACTGTCAAAATGGAAACGGGTACAGCAAGTGAAACAACACTTTTGGAAAAGGTGGCACAAAGAATACTTAAACGAGCTGCGTACCAGAAGCAAGTGGCATCAAGGAGATGGAACACGGATTAAAATCGGTCAACTGGTAACGATAAAGGAGGACAACCTTCCTCCCATGAAATGGAGCATGGGTCGCATTGTAGCAGTTCATCCAGGAGCAGACAACATAGTGCGTGTAGCAACAGTGAAAACACAAACTGGAATATATAAACGTTGTGTGAAAAAACTTGCCCCATTACCTATCGATCGACCGATAGACACTTGATCTGTTTTGTATTACACTTTATGTAACTATTTCTAGAATAAGTTGTACAGTACTCAACACACATGATCATATTGTGAACATTTAAGACTAGACATTTGAAATAAGCTCTCTCGTAAAGAGACAATCTTAGTTGTTCTAACAATTTACTAGTAATCATTCAGCAGCGGAATTTTATTTAAGATAGATTAGGATGTTAGATAGCTATTTGAACAATTACCGCCTAGCATTTAGATAATCACGCATGTAAATCCTTTATACTATTGTAATCATCCCATTTCAATGTGAAATCAACAGCTAAGCCAGAATGCATAGCAGATCCATGCGCCATTTAGAGGTCGTGAATCGTACCAGTATGATTAGCGAAGGTCGCGAAGAACTACTATAACAATGTGCGACGTTATATGTGCATATTCGCATCGTTGAACGGTAACACCGGATCCGTTTGAGCTATTGAAAAAACATAGCACACCTTTGTATTCGGTACCAAAAAAAGGTAAGGTTTCGTTTGTCACATTTAGCTGAAGGAATTATATTTAAAGTCGAAATAATTAATTACCTGTATTTTCGCCCTCATCGTAGTACGAAAATTCGACGCCGCAGACAAGAATGAATAGCAGAATCGTACTCCCCTTAGAGTACGAGTATCGTACTGGTACGTTACGTGAAGGTCGCGAAGGACTATTATCACCTTGCCGACGTTATATTTGTATATTCGCTCTGATTAACGGTAACACAGGAACCGTTTGAGCTATTGAAAAAACAAACCACACCTTTGTATTCGGTATCACAAAAAGGTAAGATTTCGTTGGTCACATTTAGTTTTAGGAATTATTATGAACGTCGAAATAATTAATTATCTGTATTTTCCCCGAACATCCAATTTCGGAAATTCGGCGCCGACGTCCAGAATGTATAGCAGAATCAAACACCATTTGGAGTACGATTATCGCCGCAGTATGTTATGTGAAAGTCGCGATGAACTACTATCGCCTAGCCGATGTTATAGGTGTATAATCGTTTCGATTAACTGTTACACGGCAACCGTGTGAGATATAGATGAACCTAGCACACCTTTACATTTGAGCTCAGAAAATTGTAAGATTTCGTTGTATACAATTAGCTGAAGGAATTCAAATTAAAGTCGAAATATTTAGTTATCTGTATGTTCCCTCACATCATAGTTTCGAAAATACGGCGCCGATGTTCAGAATGCATGGCAGAATCGTACCCCAATTAAAGTCCGAGTTTCGTACCGGTCCGTTACGTGCAAATCGCGAGAAATAGTATTTCCAAGCGCGACGTTACATGTGTATATACGCTTCGTTTGACAGTAACACGGGAACCGTTTGAGCTAATGAAAAAACAAACCACACCTTTTCATTCGGGATCAGAAAATTGTAAGATTTCGTTGTATACAATTAGCTGAACGAATTATATTTAAAGTCGAAATATTTAATTATCTGTATTTTCGCCAAACATCGTCGTTCTAAAATTCGACGCCGTCGTCCAGAATGCATAGTAAAACCGTACGCCATTTAGATGACGAGAATCGTACCGGTACATTACATGAAAATCCCGAAGAAATACTATCACCACTCGTGACGATATATGTGTATATTCGCATCGTTTAACAGTAACACCGGAACCATTTGAGCTTTGTATAACATAGCACACCTTTGTATTCGGTATCAAAAAATGGTAAGATTTCGTTGGTCACATTTAGTTTTGGGAATTATATTTAAAGTCGAAATATGTAATTATCTGTTTTTGCCCCCACCATCGTAGTAAGAAAATTCGACGCCTACGTCCAGAATGCATAGCAGAATCAAACCCCATTTAGAGTACGAATATCGCCGCAGTAGGTTATGTGAATGTCTCTAAGAACTACTATCGCCTAGCCGACGTTATTGGTGTATTTTCGCTTCGTTTAACATTAACAGTGCAACCGTGTGATATATTGAAGAACCAAACACACCTTTATATTCGGTATCAAGAAATGGTAATATTTCGTTGGTCACTTTTAGTTTTAGGAATTATTATTAA